TTTAGCTTGGGCCAAATACCTTAGAATAATTTAAGAGGGGTCTGACCTCTACTCATCTAGCTTTAGTGGTTCACACTTCTGGGCTGGACCTGATTTGGAACATCATACACAGAGAGCCTCTTTTTACAGGCATCATAAACATACATGCACTATCAGAAAACAGGGTGGAATCTCAGTTACACAGGACTGATTTCCATCAGTTCTGGTCACAAGACAAAATATAATTTCACATCAGAAGTAATAGTTGATTCATTTTCCTCATAAGAATCATTACCTCAGTGAAAAAGTATGTTTTTTTGGATATTTCTAACTTGCTTCTGTAACTGGAAAACTGAAAAATCTTTTGTGTCATACACTAATGAAAAACTGGTAACACTTTACAATAAGGTTCATTAGTTAACATTAGTTAACTAATTTAGTTAACATGAACTAAGCATGAACAATACATCTACAGCATTTATTAATCTTAGTTAATGTTAATTTCATATTAATGCATTATTAAAATCAAGTTTTGCTCGTTAACATTAGTTAATGCACTGTGAACTAACATGAACTAACAATGAACAACTGTATTTTAATTAACTAACATTAACAAAGATTAATAAATACTGTAATAAATGTATGAATACATGAACTAATGGAACCTTAAAGTGTTACCGAAAAACTAAACTTCTTTATGCATTTATTTTATATTATTTTTTACAAGATACTCAACAACATAATTACGATACCTACAAATAAAAAAGCTCAATATTAATTTCCCAGGATGACTTCTGACTGGTCTGGCCTCCTTTGAAACATAAGAATCCATTGAAATTATGGACTGCTAATTCTATAAAAATATATATTTTTTGTCCTGTACTTTCAATATTTTGAATTTGGATTTTAACCACGTCAGCAATGGATTCCTGGTACTATTCAGACTAGTAAAAAAAAGGATGATAAACTATATGGGGATTCCTGATTTAAGAGGTCAATTCAAAGGTCTATGTACTGTGTGGGCTGAATTTCACTGCATCTTCTGATAAATGTTACAGCATGTAGAGAACAGGGGGAACACACCCTGGTCCTATCACGAACAGTTACTGATTCACTAAACCGGCTTTACAATAAGCTATGTAAAATAATATTCATGAAAGTGATAAAAACTGATACACACCTTCTCATGCCCTGCCTCACTGACCATGCATCAACCGACCCTTTATAAACTCAAACAGCTTTCTTGCTTCTGTCTAAGTGAACCTAACACCAGCCATTAATCCAGACATGGGACATCTGGAGTTAATACTAGTGCTAACATGGATAATAGGTTGCTTTACCATAGACAACAACGCAAATAGGTAAGATGCTCATAATTATTTAGTCATTTGGTATATTGTTTCAGAAGTAATGTGAATGTAAATCTAATTTAGCTTTTATAAAGTACCAGATTCAGCAAAATATTTGATTTTATACTAGTAAAATGATGTAGCCTACATTGTATACGTATTTATATGCATAATATGCAAATGCATATTATATGATAAATAAATATATAAATATATATTATATTACGGTAATATATATATTATATTAATAATTATTAATATATAAATATTAATAATTATTAATCTGTACGATCACATCAAACATCAAACTGGAGACGTTTCAGACGCGCGCTCCAACTTCACTTCAGCGCCAGGCTCGAGTCAAACGAGCACGGAAACGGTACTGTTCTCGCAGCGCTACAATTGCACGCACAAAGACACCGGCGCGCACTGTAGCCTTCATCATTTCATATCAAAGAGCGAAATAATCTACGTGCATGCAATGTCGTGGTCAGCTAAGTCATGAAGTTACCAGAAAGGCGATTAAAGCTGCCTTAAAACTGTGCATGCATGTAATATATTTTATATGAGTCACATGTCTCTGAAATGGTTTTCAAAACGGTCCTGCAGCAGCCCAGCACTGTCTCACTCATCTAACACACTCGATTCAACTCGTCAGCTCATTAATAGAGACTTTAAGACCTGAAGTGAGTCAGAAATGGTAAAGAGAATTATGAGAAAATACGATGCGTGTCAGATCCGCGTCATGTTCAGCAGCGGCAGCTCTTAAAGAAATAACAGCCAAAACAACCTAATAACCAGCTGCTGTGATGTCTGTTCATCAAGAAGAAAAAAAGAGGAAATCAATAACTTTTTATATAGCTTTAAGGATTTATATTTAATTTAGTATTTAGTGATTGATTGATAACTTCAATTTCAATTTCTGTATATTTCTGCTGAAGGGCACAGGTAGGCATAAATATGACATTTATTATAATTGGTTTATGTGAAGTTTGTTTTAAGTTGACTTAAATTAGAAGTTATTTTTTTTAAGTCTATAGTAAATGTTAAAATTGATAGCTCTCAATTATACTGTAAAAAAAGATTCCATTAAACAAATATTTAAAATATACTGTATGTTGTTTCTACATTAATTTAAAGATTTAATGTGAAATTATTGCAATATAAAAGTATATTTAAAAACGTTAATGTTAGGTGGGATTAATCGCGAAAAATCTGAAAAAAATGTGCGATTAATTAGTTAATTTTTTATCGAGTGACAGAACTATATATATATATATATATATATATATATATATATATATTAATTTCTATACAAAGTACATGATTCAGTGAATACTTGATTATCATGTGCATCAGGCATATTAATAGAGCAACACACTTCTAACAATTAGTTACATGAAAACAGGCAAAGTTAAAAACTGTAAGTGTAAAAGCATGTTAACATATCAGAGTTTGGCTATTTCTTAATTTTATACACAACATTATTGTACTGCCAAGGCATTAATTGTCACTTCCTTACAGTTTCCTTACAGATGATGTCTACTATTATTTAACAAAATTACACTACTTTCATGCCTTTGTAGATAAGAAATTCTTAAGCGATAATACAGCTAATCCAATACTTAACAAGCATAGTAAAATATAGCCAGCTTCTTCATCTTTTTTCCTGATATTAGTTAACTCAACCTGCTTTCTTATATCCTGTTTTTACAGATATGACGTGACAGGGAGAGATGCTGGTAAGAAAACTATCATGTAAAATGTAATATGGATAATGATTAACTAGGGAATTAGTGCTATTGCAAAATTTCCATATTTCAATCATTTTTTTTAATCTTTTCTCTTTCAAATATTCAGTAACATTTTAATATAAATAAATTACTGCAATACAAGAACTACTATGATCATATCCTACAAATCTGTGCAAAGACTATTATGATGTCTGTCTTATACTAATGAACACTGGGGAGAGACTTTGTTCTGTCACAAAAAAAAAACATGCTTGACATTGCACATAGTATTCAAGCTTGCAATCAAGCAAGGACACATATGATTACAAAATTACATGAGAACTGGTTGTAAACGGGTGGAGTACAGTAGGCCCCCATAAAGCATATCTAAGTTCCATGTCCATTACCAACACATTATGAACATAAAGTGCATTTATTGCATTGTACCACTGGAAAATGATTCACATCAAAATGTCAGCATTACTCATTCCTCATTTTAGGACTGGTATTGTTTTAAGAGCATATGCTTAAATAAGTGATCTAAAGTCAACTGGAATTCCTAGTATAGTCAATTCTTGATAATTTCTACCAATGAAAACTGAAACGTCTTGTTTTTCAATATTTTAAGCAGTGCTGGCCTCCTGTGATTTCAACAAAAACGAAGAACCTTTCTGCAACTTCCAACAAGACCCTGCAGATAATGGTGACTGGACACGTCACACTGGACCCACCCCAACCCCAGGCACTGGACCTGATGGAGACTATCCGGATGGAAGTGAGTATGAACACCAAAACCAACAAAAAACAATCCAGTGATCAGTCACTGAACTGAAGATGCATAATCACTGGGAAACAATATTCAAAACTGAATATTACTGAAATTATGGCAACCACAAATGTTTACAAAATTACAGTACACTGATTGAAGGGACATGCACTATAAGATGTTTTGTCAAGCAACCTATAAAATGATAAAGAACTTTTTTTACTGTTTCTTGCTCTCATTAAACTGAACCCTTTCCACCCCATAGCTGGCTTTTACATATATCATGAGGCTGACAACTCCGTAAATGGACAGAACGTACGCCTTCTCAGCCCAGTTATTAGTAGTGAACCTTCTGAGATCTGTGTACAGTTCAACTACTACATGTATGGCTCTGACAGCAGTAACACCCTGACTGTGTTGGCCAAACGTCCTGGCTCTGAGGAACAAATGTGGCAAAAAATTGGGATACAAAGCCCATCATGGCTTGGAGCCTCTGTCACAGTGCCCATACCAGCTGGACAGACTGCTCAGGTAAATGGGTCTGCTTACAAACAGTAAAAGATTGTCACTAGTGCTAATTCAAGTGTTTGTGTAAGGCTATTGATGTGTCATTTGTTCTTCTATAGTTCTAACATGCATTTTTAAATGAAATACATATGGGTACAGTCTTGTCATACCTCACTAAATTGCCAGAGTATTAAGGCCTTTATAGGAGACTTATTCAATTTCAGTGTGGTCACTGTGTTTATGGCAAAAGGCTATGTATTATAGTATGTCTAATCTATATAGGCCTTTTCTTCAGCATCAGTTAAAAAAGTCAATGTTACCAAGACAAAGAACACTTCTGAAGCTCTTGATGACAGAATGAACTTTGTGACTCTTACAGTGTGACAGGAAATCCCCGGTCAGTAAGTTTTAATGTAATTTTTCTCTTCTAGATTGTGTTTCAAGCAATGCGTGGGTTCTCTTCATCATGTGACACTGCCCTGGATAACATTGTCATCACCGAGGGAGCCTGTGCTGGTACTTTATATTTTACCCTTATTGCATGTTATAAAGATATACATTTTATATTATAATAATGATTTTATTATATTTGATTTTATACAGGCTGTATAGCTGGGTGTGATTTTGATGATACTGATGAATGTGGCTGGACAAATGTGATAACTAATGAAGAAATCTTTGGTTGGGAGTTTTGGACTGGACAGACAGATACACCAGGCACTGGCCCTGATGATGACTTCTCCAAACCAGGATGTGAGTCCAACATTCCATCCTGTCATAATATTATTATGCTTTCAGTCCTCTTCACATTCCCTATTTTCTCAAACTGTTTCTTTCCAATGCAGTGGGGACGTACCTGTTAATGGACTCCATCTATAGCATTGAAGGAGAATCTGCTCAGCTCTGGAGCCCCTCTACCTCAGCATCTGGTTGCCTACAGCTGGACTTTCATTACTACATGTATGGCAGTGCCGCCAACATGGAGCTTAATGTCCATGCAGTCACCACGGGTAAGAGTAACAAGCCTACGGTCATTCTATAGAGTGAATATTAAGAGTTTATTAAAACATCTGTAGGTTCAAAGGATAATTAGGAAATTAAAATTATGATATAAGAACATTATTCACATATACACACAATGAATCAACTTTCAAATCTACTTTCAAAAATGTTATTATACAGATTAATTACTAAGATTTTGGCTCAGTTTTGTTTTATGATTTATTTTTAGGTGTGGCACTTGGAGCCCCTATTTTCAGCCTCAAAGGAAATCAAGGTCAGGGCTGGAAGCCTGCAAGCATTCGCTACATTGGTTCAGCTGATTCAGTGGAGGTCAGTTTTATTCTCTCAGTTAAAAAAAATTTGTGAATGAGCTTTTTACATTTTTTTACATTATGATCTGGCCCATTTGAGTTATAATCTAATTTAATTTATCATAAATATTGCCAAAGGTTCACGTTTTTACATTGTAATTTACATTTTTCATTTCAGTTTGTAATTGTTGGTGTTTATGGTGAAACAGACAAGACAGATATTGCAATTGATAGTGTCTGCATTACCACTTGTACAGGTAGGTGGCAGACAATGTCACTAATGCCATTGTAAGTCTAAAAGTACCAGCTGTCATGTGATACATATTTTATGGATGATGCACCAGTATATTAATTGTTTTCTTGCTTGATTTTAGCAACTCCAACAACACCTAAACCATCCCCACCCCAACCCACTTCACCTAAACCATCAACACCACAACCCACTACACCTAAACCAACGACACCGGGTCCATCAACTCCTAAGCCAACAACACCTAAGCCAACTACTCCAGAACCAACACCACCAGGTAAGCTAAACTTGTTCTATTTTGATTAGAAACATTTATCAAAACATTATAACATTTGTATAGATAAACAAACCCTTCATGTCTTCCAACAGTGAACTGCCCTCCAGACTCTGAGTACATTGATTGCGGCCCAGCCTGTATTCCTTCATGTGCAGAGCCCTCTACTAACTGCTCTGGTTCTTGCATCAGCGGCTGCTTCTGTAAACCAGGATTTGTTTTCCGTGGCCGGCGCTGTGTTCCTATTGAGCAGTGTGGATGTCTGGATGAAGAAAACAATTACTTTGAGGTACAAGAGTTGTCGTTGTGAGGCTGCATTTTTATCCAGCTTTAGGACCTAAGCTTTTGCTCTAAAAGTCTTGGTCTATATTTACACTCAGCCTGGTGAGATCATATTTGGAGATGGCTGTTCCAAGTTGTGTCGCTGTGCTGGCAACTACACTTTCGACTGTGTGGACAACACCTGTGACCCTGTGACAGAAGAATGTCGGGAGGTTGGTGGAGTGCATGGCTGCTACCCTAAAGGTATTATAGAAAGCCACAACAATCTTCCCTAATCCACAATTATCATAACTGACAAGTGATCAAACAACATGCTGAATTGCTCATGTGATAGCTCATGTTTCAAAACCCACAAGCTTTCAAACACACAGACAAAATTTTGTCATTTGGCTGGGCAGTTATTAACTTGCAAACCAATAACTCTTGAGACAAAGCATATTTATGATCAAATTTGAATTTATATCTTTGACACCAAGGGATTTTTCACTCACAGGAACCTCCAACTGTATTGCTTCTGGTGACCCCCATTACAACACCTTTGATAACCGGCGCTATGACTTCATGGGAAACTGTTCTTACCTGATGTCCGAAACTTGTAACAGCACAGACGTGCCTTACTTCGCTGTGTACACAGACAATGAGAACCGCTACAACAATCCTCATATCAGGACGTGCCTTACTTCGCTGTATACACAGACAATGAGAATCGCTACAACAATCCTCATATCAGCTATGTAAAAGCAGTTCATGTCCATGCACTAGGAGTCATAGTGTCCATTCTGAAAGGAGGAACTGTGCAGGTAAGAGAAAAGAACATTATTTTCAATCTTATTTATCTATACACTATCATGTTTACAATAGTATTAGTGTACATATACTGTATACATCTAATTCAGTGGCACATTCAAATGGACAATTGTGTTTTCTGACTTTTCTCAGGTCAATGGTACCAAAGTGAACATTCCTCTGAGTCCTGTCAGTGGTGTTGACATTTTCATGTCTGGAAAGCACTACACAGTGGCCTTGAACTTTGGAGTAACTGTACGTTACGACGGAAACCACTATATGGACATTAAAGTTATCAAGGAGTGAGTATGGTTCTTATAAAAGTATTCTTAATAACATCTTTTATAACTTCTTTTATATCACTTTTGAATATCTCTACATGCTTGTGATCATTTTACAGCTATGAGGA